AAACGGGGAACATATATCTCAACCCCTGCCTTGGTATTTGTTCTGGTTAAGATGTCGTGGAACAATTCTTTCATAGTCAAATATTGGGCCAAAATGGGCAAAAAGGTACTCACAAAGAGGTTGCACATAGTTTGGAATTGAGTGAGCAGGAAAAGGAATAAAAGGAAGAGATGTAATTCAAGTTATAAAAGAATGAGAAAATATCCCTATTAGACATATTAACATGACTCAATTGGTGGATGGCCAGCCCATAACAACTAACAGATCGAGGAGGAATGGATGGAGAACCAAGTTGTGGAAAATATGCTCTCAACCACAATTGACTGAACCAAAGAGGCCCGCTGCCAGTAGGAGATGCACAAAGATTTAAAGGTCTACCACGTGCTAGTTCATGAGCTATGGGAAAATAACTCATGGAAGGTTTAACGCTGGGCACACAAAGAATGTATTTGCAGAGCAAAACTTGGAGAAAAGCGATACGCTCAACGTGAGTAGGTTCAGCACCAGAATTATTATAAAGCTCCTGTATGCCCAAGTAAAAATCAGTAAATCTTTTCTCAAATTTTGGGGCAGCGCAAGTAACCAAAATGGCAGGAGAAATGGTGTCGCCCAAGGCTGGAAGCTTTACTAGGGCTCCAACATCCCTCAGGGTAATAGACATTGGGCCAAGCGGGAAAATAAAAATATTATACTCAGAGGACCAAAAACTTAAAGCAATAGGGAAAAGCACGACATCATAGATTGGGGGACGGAGAGAGTTTCTAATAAATCCAAAATCATAGTACGATCAAAAATTGCCTTAGTAGGGCCATGACTTACCATACGTGCATGCCACAGGTGAAAAGTAGTATCAATTTTGAGCCAAGTGCGAATACCTTTCTCGCGGATTGGCTTTAGCAGTAGAGAGTTCAGAAGAGAAGGATCTTGAGTGCAAGGGAATAGCTGGCCCACTGCCGATTGCCCAACAGATTCAACATCATTAAATGACGGGGCCTATGTAGAATTCATGGAGTTTAGGGTTGGCTGGTGAAAGGGAAG